GTGTACGTCTTTCTCCATGCACATTAGCATTTGATTCAAAATTGACGTTTTCACCGTTTTTCATAACAAGAGTGTCACGAAATTTTCCACATTGCAGTCTGGTGTCACCATTATCACTCTTTACTTCGTATTTTTCTAAATATATTTCTGGATCCACCATATCTTGTATCATACCACGAAAACGCACTAAAGCATGGTTCTTGAGTTTGTGCAAAGGCGTATAGTTTAACAATGGGACTTTGGCCAAAAATTTTGGATCTTTCAATGCATCGCTTAAACTGTCAGTTTCTGTGAACTCCTCCAATGTTTTTGGCAGTATTATATTTTCAGTTTCAACCGACATTTTTAAATTAACTTAATAAACTGATTAGCTTTTATACAAACAAAAATCTCATGAAACTACTTACAGCTTTTCGCGCTAAGATAATTTGTCGAATTTGGCAGCACTGCTATTGACTGACAATCAATAAGCAGGGTTGCAATAATTTTTTATAAATGTTTTGATGAGATTTTGGTGAATCTTGACAAAATGTATAACACTCGAGATAAATTTATTACACCCTAGGTATTTTTCCATAGAAGCAAGATTGCTTTGAATTTCACAGCTGTTTTATATAACTTTACAGAATGTGATTTGATTTGACATATGTGTTTATGAAAAATTTAGAGTAATTTTATATGTACTCTAACAACATTCGACTGGACAAAAAAATTTGACAGATCAAGAGTAAGACTAGATTGATTCCAGATTGACTAACCGAAAATACTATTAGTTTTATTTTCTTGCTATCGACTGCATTTGTCTCTTAGGGTTTAAATAGATTCATGATCAATTAGTTCATGATTTTCAAATCAAACTTAAGAACAGAGATCCAGAAACTTACGTTCACAATACAACGTAAATATCTCGAAAACTCTAGACATCTATCAGTATTATAAACAAAAAATGACATAAACTTTGTTTAAATGTAAAATTTTTATAATTTTACTTTGGGCATTTCTGTCCCTCCTCGAAACGTCGACTAAGTTTGTTTTATCAAAGATTGCGTAATTTACGCAATGATCTTAACTCCCTCTCCAAGTATTACAATATGTGAAAATTAAACTCAACCCTTGAAAAATCTCGACAATTGTCTGATTGGTGTAAAACACAAATGTTTCAAGAGTTATAAATCATCATAAACTTTATAAATGGAAGTTATTTTCACTTCTAAACACAATTCCATTCCACACGTTAGTCATGTTATCAAGCACTCTTCTACTCTTTGAGCTTAAAAATGCTCTGAATTGACACAATCTGCTAAACGTACAAATCAAACCTTTTGGTTTGGTCCGTATTCGAGTGTTTAAAAAGTGTGTGCTTCGAGACTACATTACCTACAAGCGCAGACCTAAAGGCAAACATTATTTCAACTCCGCTAGCTATAAAAATTCTAACATCAAATAATTAGATGACATTTTGTTGTCCGTAGCGCGAAGATAATTTAAAAACTTAACATCCATCCATATGATGTTAAGTAATATATATAAATAAATGTTAGAGCTTCATGCAGAGTGCCACACAGTAGTTTGTGTAAGTAGAGTACAATGCCCTAAGTAACTTGTACCAATGTAAACGACAAAAGCTCAAAGTTACTTAAGTAACTTACTAAGTAAACAGTGGAAACAAAGTATAAGGCTGAATTAATCTTCTGTATATGACTTTTACCTTTAAATAATGGGAGTATTTTGTATAGCAACTTTTTATATTTATTAATATCATTGTTAACATTAGCTCTATTAATTTAAAATAAATGAACGATTTATATTAATACTCCACATAATTCATTTATAACAAATGCTTTTAAATTTTTTCATAAAATAATTCAAAATATCCATCATTTCCCAAAGTAGAATATTTTATAAATGGGAAGACTTGGCAACTTCCATAATAAATTTTTGTGCCATCTGACATTAAGTTTGTTTACACAAATTATTTGATTAAGTTTTGAAGGGTTTTTTCGCGGTTTTATAATGTCAACATTAATGGAACAACGGATTTGCGTTAAATTTTGTCTTACCAACGAAATTTGCTGTTCAGACACCTACAAAATGTTAAAAAAAACCTATGGAGAATCATGTATGTCCAAAACGCGAACATATGAATGGTACAAATCATTTAAAGAGGGCCGTACCGTAGCCGAGGATCTACCTCGCTCTGGGCGTCCATCCACATCAACTAACGACGAAAATGTAGAAAAAGCGAAGAAAATGGTGCTTCAAAATTGTCGTGTGAGTGAGAAAGAGATAGCTGCTGATCTTGGCATTTCCACCGGATCAGCACGTACCATTTTAACCGATGTTTTGGGTATGCGACGCGTTTCTACTCGATTTGTGCCAAAGCTGTTGACCTTCATGCAAAAGGAACAACGCAAAGCTATTGCAGAGGATATGATATTTCAATCTTCTGAAGACACGACATTCATTCAGCGAATAATAACGGGTGATAAGATGTGGGTGTATGAATATGATATTGATACAAATGAGCAATCAACGGATTGGTTGTTTGAAAGTGAGCCAATAAGCAAGAAACCACGACAAAGTCGTACAAAAGTTAGGACAATGTTGATTGTATTCTTCGATTGTCATGGTATTGTTCACTCAGAGTTTCTTCCACAAGATCAGGCGTTTGATCAAATATATTACTTGTCTGTTTTACAACGTTTGAGAGAAAATGTTCGTCTTAAACGTCCAGATTTGTGGGAAGACAATTTATGGATTCTGCATCATGATAATTGGAAATCATATATTGTACGAAATTATTTAGCTAACCACTCAGTAAATATGATCGAACAAGCACCGTATTCTCCGGATTTGACACCAAGTGATTTTTTTCTATTTCCAAAACTTAAATTGCTGCTTCGTGGTAAGCGTTTTGAGACAGTGGATGCGGTGAAAGAGAATGCACTTAAGGAGTTAAATGCCATACCCAAATTGGCTTTTGAATACTGCTTTAAACAGTGGATTAAACGATACCATTTGTGTGTGTCTCAAGAGGGAGATTATTTTGAAGACAAAATAAATACTCTAGGATAATTAGCTATTTGAGTTTTACTTACAATTGCCCACTGATTTTAAAGAAACTATAAAGATGTATATAAAATATAATTATTCCCGATATTTGTAACTAATTTTATATACAGTCAGAATATATTCTAAAAGATAATACTGAATATAAATACTTAATTGTAAACAGCTAAGCAATAACTATGAAAAGTTATGGTCTTATATTTTTTAAACTCCAACAGCACCTTACTTTTTAATAAGCCACTGTTCAAAGTATAAAATTTAATTTATATTCATTAGCTCAAACTAAGCAATAGTTTCCTAGACTTAAATCTTTCCAGTAATTCCTTCCATCTCACAACTGATCCGCTTAACAAGAGAAAGTTAATGAGGTTCTAGTAGCGACCGGATATACGTCCCAAAGCCACTTGTTAATTTTGATGACTAATTGCAGTTCACCATTCCTAAAGCGATCTACAACAATAGCAGAAAGTTACAGCTATTACCACATCTACGCGTACAACTTTCAATCGCCACTCTTTTTAGTAACCATCTTTGAGTTGTGAATACAATTAATATTATTCTCACTTTAGCAACGCTATTCTATAATCTATTGCTCTATTTTATAAAGAAGTAAGCATTTCTGCAGTTGGATATCGGTTTAACTCAGTTTTTATTACTTAAAATCACTTCTCCATTTTTGAGGCCCTATGCTCCAATGGGAGATACAGGAACTACTGATGTTGATGATTATGTCAATAATGTTTTATAACGTTATCAATGCACTAACAATTTCAGTCTCTATATCTAGTGGTATAACATAAGCCTAGCGTTCGAACATGTTTACTCGTTGTATCACAACGTTTACTCGTTGTATTAAAATGTTTACTCGTTGTATTAAAACGTTTAGTCGTATTACAACGTTTACTCGTGGTATCACAACTTTTATTCGTTGTATCGCAACGTTTATTTGTTGTGCGCAACTGCCTATCCAACCTTACTTAACCATTGTGTTTTACACTTTCAAATCTTCCCTCGAATTGTTACGAATTTCCTGTGGCCAATATTATCATCTTTAATCTTAATGTCATGCTTTTAATACTTTTAAATTTTTTTTTTTTATAATTTTGTTTAATTTTACATACATATTTATTTATATTAACATATTAAGCTCTGTAATCTGGATCATTATGTTCTTCTTCTTCATCCTCCTCGTCGTCATCATCATCTATATAATTATAATAAATTGATTTATGTATACTTTGAAAAGTGAATATCATAAATCTCTACTCACCATGATCTCGTCGTTTTTTAGTGTAAGCACGTTTTGTAGTTGCCGGTGCTTGATCTGTTTCACCATGTAATAATGCATTACGATACATAACCAATGGCTGCCATTCTTCAGCTCTGCTCGATGGCATACCAGGTGAAATTCGGCGTTCAAGAAAATTGTAAATCACTTTTCTATCTTGTTTCAAGAGTTTGTTGTTGAATTCGTTAAGAACTTCAAGAAACAGTAATCTAATTGGTGCCGCAACAGGGTCATCGGATACTTCTCCGACAGCAAAAAGTATACCGGCACGATGCACTGCAACTATGGCTTCACGATTTTTAATGGCATCAAAGCCAAATGTCAATGCAAAACGTTTAGCCAATTCCTTTAAATCCGCAAATTCATGAGAATTTCGCGAAACGCTATTATTTTCTGATTGTTGTTGTAAATCTTTGAAGATTGCAATTAAACTTAAAAGTAATGTAAGCGCAAAGTTAATTTTATTAATTTCTCTAGCTTTGCCCAAAGTTGCTTTAATGATGTCTCCATATTCATTATAACACTGCAAATGGAAAATAAAGATTTTTATTAATAATTCTGTTTTTGAAACGGGCTAACTGGTGAATTCTTAAATAATACATTTTTTTAAAAATTAGTTTCTCATACATTTTTTATTTAAACCAATATTTTGACCGTATACTATAGTCATCTTCAGGGTAATATTATGATGTTTTTATAATGTCATTTTATTATCATCTTAACTGAAGATAAAAACCATGAAGATGACTACAGAATATAGTTAAAACATTGGTGTAAATAAAATTATTTTTAAAATTTATTTTTTAAAAAAGTGTATTATTTAATAATTAACTTTTTTTTATAAAATAAGACACTTATAGGAAATCAGTCTTGAAACCATTATTTACATCAATTAAAATATTATTTATGTATACCAAAGATTTCTTACTTTAACATAATATTTGAATATACCAGCACCAGTTCTTGTTGGTATGATGTTGTATACGATAAGTTTACAGTATGAGGCAAGGAAATTGCGCTTTTTATGCAGTTCTTCGATACGCGTTTCATCTTGAACAACTATTAAATATTTTACAAAATTATATTATTTGTATTTAAAACAATTCCAAAACTATTACTAACCCTCTTGCTTTAACGAAAATACATAGTGTTGTACAAAATTATTTAAAATCAGTTGTTCATCTAATGTGGATTTATATTCTAATGTGCGAAGCGGTTCCATGTCATGCCGACATAACTGATCCGAAAATACAATTAGTAAATCACAAATCGATTGATAAGCCTAAAAATCAAATACCAACATAAGTAAAATAATTAATGATATAATATAAAAATTCTATGCTAGTTACAGCTTCTTGTATGGGTTCTGTAGGTCCATCACGTGTTAATTCGAAACACGCTGCCATATATTTATTCAAATGGGACTTTAACTCGGCGGTACTTTCTTCAAGATTGGATTTTTCACATTGATTTTCCAAGTAGTATAGACCCCAACTTATGGAATAGTAGCAAGCTTCTATGCAATACACAATTGCTTCACTAGGTATATGTACTTCTTCGCTATTCTTTGATTGAATTTCGTCCACATCTTGAAATAGTGAGTCAAACAAACTCCAAGGGTTTAAGTTGTGTGATGAAAATAATATAGATACAACTTTCAATGATATAATAACATTGTGAATTTCATCTTCATTTGGTGTGTCCGTAGCTTTAGAAATATATAAAGTTTATTAATATCAAACAGTTATTTTTTTTTATAAATAATACAAACCTGCAATAATCGTACGCCAATCGTCAATGGAATCTTTATATTTATTAACGGTTGTATCAATAATATTTGAACGCGCTACATCACAACGCGTATACGTAGCACTACCCTCTGTACATAAATATTCAAGTGTTTTAGAGCATGCTTCGAGTACCTCACGATCTGTATGCACTGACATTATGTAACTTATTTTGTCTAATAATGCTTGTAAGTTAGCCTCCTGTCGATTTGTAGTGTAAATATCTAATTCGAAATATTGTGGAACAGCAAGTAAATTTGTCAATTTCTCACTGTCTGCTTGATATTTTTCTAATAGAGGTGGCAATGTTATAATAAAATGTTCAGTTAATTTAGTTTTTTCATCCTGTATTGCTTTTAGTTCTTTTGAATTCAGTGTGACTTTACGATTGCTTGCACGCCCAACCGGTGCCTCACCAGTTGCTGATTGTTTAACACTACTGACCATTATTTCTATTAATGTAGACTCCTGTTTGTTATCTAAAACTTCTTCATTAATGCCAGGTTCCTCTAACAATAAGTCCGTCATACATTCCCAATCTTTGACCATCGGATTGCTGTCTATAAATGAATCAACCAAATAAGCACCGTGTTCATGCAGTTCAGATTCAATAAAGAACTGTACTAAATCGCGTACTAACGGTGTATTGGGTAATCGTAATTTTCCGCGTCTGGTTTTCGACTCTTCCATATCAGCAGTTAAATGAAATAGACGTACATTAAGAAATTCTGCAGCAGCTTGTGCAACGCCCCGGTGAGAAGAATACACCAGTTCGTAAACAATTTCACAATCTTTATCTGCCAGTATGTCAGGATGTATTCTAAAATATATATAATAAAAATATGAATAATTTAAATAGTTTATTCACCACCTACTTTAGTATGCTTATAACAAGTTTGACTGCATGTACAGCAACTTCAAACTCCTTGTCCAGTGTCATCGCAACAATACGATCTTTAAACTTTGAGGTGAACAACTCCAATTTGCCTTTTAACTCAATTTTATCATAAAGCGGTAATAACGCCTGTAAGCAACGTAACCGCACTTCGCCGACTTTGTCATGAAGAGTCCAACCAATGTATTTAAGATAAGAGTCATCTAAAAAGTTTTGTGGATAGTTTTCCATCCAAACCCCAATTTCCGCCATACAAATTGCACGTATGTCAGGCAACGTATCTCTAGTTTAAAGTGAAACAGTATAAGTTAAATGTCAATATGATGCAGATAATGAAATTACCTATAACGGTGCACAAAGACGGATTTAAACATGTATGTTAACATATTCTTTATTTCATCCATATTTTCTTCCAATTCAGCACGCTTTGCCATTAAGGACTCTAAACGGTCTGAAGCACGACGATCACGTGACTGAAATATAGTTTATTATAATTTTCATGTGTAAATAAAATTGCATTGCATTACCTTTACTCTCTCCGCCTCGTACTGCTTAGCCGCATTGTCAAAATTATTTGAAACTAAAAGTGCCACATCCACTAGGGCCGTCATCAACTTCATGGCTATGTTAAAAATATTTTCATTGATTTGGTTTTATTGTATTAAAATTATTAGTAGCAACAAACCTGCTAATGTTGCTGTATGACGAAAGGCTCGCACTTGAGAGTCCGACAACCCAGTTAAAAGTGATATAACATTATCCATTAAAAATTGATCATATATTATGGAGTATTGACACTGTTTTACAAGCGTTTGCACAAAATCACAAAAATTCATTTTGAACTTTTTCCATTGCAGACCCGACATTATTAAAGGATATTCACCACTTTCCTATATAACACAAGAACTTATCAGATTTTATTACATTTATATGTAGGTATGCAAGCACAACCTCATCAAACTCTTCAGTCATTTTACGTATGACAGCAGTGTGCTCCATTGGATGTTGCATGTCAGATGATATTTTTCCTTTGCAACCACTAGCGTTGATGAAAAACTGCATTAGCGAAATAAGAGCCGAATCTCTATTCTGTTTATATTGTTCTATCCAATCGTCAACAATGCTCTAAAAATGAGTTCAGTCAATAAAAATATTTCTACATATCACACAGTACACTTACGGCTATTGCTGCCTTGGAATGGCGGACTATAAAATATAAACTATTTTCATCTGTGGTAACATCGCGTTCAATATCAATTCGCTCCTGTTCCTTTTCAGCGTGTTCTTTTCGTGGCCGCTCAGCACGCTCACGTTTTTCGCCTGGTGGCTTACGTTGTGTTGGCTGTTTTCTTTTACGCACCACTGGTGCATAGAAATCATCCTCGTCATCATCAATAATAGGTGGTTTATCGCGAACGCCACCTCTTGCACGTAAACGTGTCATACGTTTTGTTGGACTATCTCCATCAGAAATGCTTTCATTCAATTGGTCTCTTATATGAAAAGAAAATATTTTTGTTGTTATTGATTCCCGCCCAAAGTAATCTAGTATATTTACCCTTGTAGTCCTTCTTCATATTCCGGCGGTGGATCATCCATACGTATACGTTTACCACCACGCCGCGCCATCATTATAGTTTTATAATTTTCTATTTATTATATAAATTTATTTATTTCTATTTAAAACAAAAATTACTTTCATGTTTTGCGTTGCGTCCTACAGTTTGTTTTTGTACTAAACTTATTACTTTTAGTACAAACATGGTTGCATTCGTAATATTAAATTATGAAATCTATATTCAGTGCGTACTAAAATTGACAATGAAGTTGAAATAATAAAATTTATTATTATTATCTTTTTGGTTGAAATAAAATGTTTTTATATTAATACAACTAAAAAGTAAATGTTGCGAGCTATGTAGTATGCAACGAATGCACATATTAAAACAATTTTCGGTTTTTATTTGCGTTTCGTGCGTTGAATATGTTGCCAGACTAAAATAAATTTTTATCAAAACGTTTTATTTTAAAATATTCTATCAATATGTCATATTGATAGTTTTTTATAATTATAATAAAATTATTTTGATTATAAATATTTTTTTTTAATATAAAGTGTTATATAATAATGAGAACTAAATAAAATATATATGTGAATAAAAATTAATAATCTTTGTTATATATATTTAGCTTGGCAGTGCTATAATATTCATATTAAAATTGTAAACAATTATTAATTTGCAAAACGCAAAAACGCAACATTATAATTTAGTTTTTGTTTGAAATATTCAACGTATAAACGCAAAAACGTTATTTATGCTTTGCTTATGTTGGAACATCGAATTATATTGAAATTAAAAACATAAATTCAAAACATTTTGTAAATCAAAACATTAAATTTGTGCAGAACTAAGTAAAAGAGAATAAATCCAATGGTAAATATATTTATTAAAGATATAAGCATTAAAACTATTTATAGTAAAAAAATGTCTTACTCTTTTTGCAGAAAGAAAACAGTTATTTAATAAGCGATGAAAGTTTAATAAATGAAATAGAAAAGCATACGGTGCTATATGAAAAATGTACAACTATATTAAAAAAGAAGAAACTACGGGATGAGGCATGGGTGACTGTAGCAAACGCAATGGACATTCCTAGTAAGATAATAATGTAATATTAAAGAAAAATAATTGAATTCGTTTTCAGAGGAAGCTTGTCAGATTAGATGGCGTGTAATTCGGGATCGTTATGTGCGCGAGAAGCAAAAGATTGAATCGCAGCAACGTAACGGTATTCGATCAACACAAAACTGGGAGTATATGCCACATTTGCAATTTTTATCCGGACATATAAAACACAGAAAGTAGGGAAAAATACATTTCAAAAACAACTGTTATAAATGCATATGAATAAATATATATATATTTTTTTGTTCTAGCACACGATTTAAAATGGCAAACACGTCTTTGCAATCTCCAACGTTTTTAACTCAGTCATATGAATTTAAATCATCACCGCATACTGAAGATGATAACTCAAATTCTGATAAAAATCAAGTTGAAGCATTCAAATTGAATAGACATTCTCCACAATTATCCAGCTTAGACGATGACAATTCCATACCAGATAAAAATCAAGTACAAGTATTTAGATATAATAATAGTACTTTTCCATCACCTTCCAGCCCAAATGAGCAAACCACATCATATGCCTTTGACAGAACCACCCCATCACCATCCACCATTAATGAGCCAACGTCATTTGTCTTCATTAGTAACACTCCACCATCATCCACATCATATAGTCAGGAGAAAAAGACAGTAGCTTGTGATGATATCAAGGAATTGATGACTTCACTGAAAACAATAACAGACAAACTACAAGTAAAAAGTGAACATCAAGCATTTTTTGATATAGAGGCCTCATTACTTAACAAGATGCCCGTTGCTAAGCAAAATGAAGTAAAGGTTAAAATTCTTCAAATGCTGGAAAAAAACGCTAGACCATTTTCTAGTTAAAAAATAAATGCATATATCATAAATCAAAGTATTCCTAATCAAAATATTAAAAACAATTAATTTATGTTTGACATTATAATTAATTTATTATAAAAGTAATTCAGTTCTTAACAAAGTGTTATAAAGCATTTATCAATTTACGTACATCAAATATTATTTAAGTACTAAAACTATAATTAATTCATATATAACATTGTGATAAAAATTGTGTTAATAAAATGTAGTATTTAAATTTTTAATTGTAATTATTTTTATAAAATATGACTGCAATTTAAAATTTTAAAAAGTCAAACTTTAAAGCTATTATTATAAATATTATCTATTAATATAATACCGCAGTTGATTCTTGTTGAAAGAATTACTAAATACTGTGTATTTCTGGGAGTTCTCGTCGCTATTAGTATAGGATTTCTCGACTAAGTTTCAGTTTATTCATGTGCCAGTATAATTGCATTGGAAATATAAAGTATCTGTTATTTTCAAAAAATTATGTATGAAATACACCACTCCTATATTTTCTGTCAATACAGGACGCAAGTTAATATTAGAAGATAGAGATGTTATCCTCCATATCCTAAAACATTTTCATTTTGTCCGTCGTGCTCTCCGTAAACTTTTGCTTAAAATTGTTGTGTACAAACCCGGAATAAGTTTGGAAAAAAAATAGTTTAATAATAAAACTTTTTAAATTAGTTTTAAAAATATTTTATTTTTACCAATATTTGCACAATAGACTTTATAATAATCTTAAGGGTACTACAGATGAGTATTAGTTTTAATAGAAAAACAGCATCTTCCACAAAATAAGTTTAAAACTTTAAACTAAGCCTTAGAATCTTAAGGCTGAGTTCACTTTGAAATAAATGCTTATATAAATTAGGAAATTGAGCTTAAAGCGACATATGCTCTGGTAAGAATGAACAAGTTGTAATCTTTGGATACTTATATCGCAGAAAACATAAACGGAAAACAAATCCATGAGTTAGGAAGTGATTAAAGATATAGTGAAGGTATTTATAGAGAGAACAGAATGAGTGTTTCATATAGTGAAGAAATAAGGAAGTTGATGTGTCATAATTGAAACTATATTGAGTCGAACGATGAAACCTTGCTACTTTGGAATGGACAAAAAGTTGTTGTTGTAGATATAGCCCGCTGGGACCTGCTTCTGAAGTCCCTTTTGGAGGTGTCGAACAGCATTTTGTCAACGATAACGACAAGTGGCTCCGGGTCGTACTTCCGGTCGTACTTGGAACAAATAATCGATTTCCGTTAATAATCAAATTTTGTCAATGATGAACACATACCTATATGCATTACAGTAAATGATCTGGAATTTATGGAATTAGGCAGATCATACACTATTGTTATAATTATTACTATTGAAAAGAAGGGATAATGCACTGCGACCTACCTATAAGATCTACTGTGCCCCTTAGTCGGATTAGAGTATTTCTCCAAATTCGATTTTTTTGATGAAAGATAGTATAGAACCTATCTTTCCTAGTCTTGTTTTCTTATCATCCATAAAATATCCTCATTGGTGTTTCTTCCACTTGTGCATCAGTGCCGGGCACTCCCCAAGCACATGGTATGTAGTTTCGTTCTCTTCTCTACATTATTAGCAGTCTGAGTTGGATTGAATTACTAACTTCGTTAGGTGATATTTCAATCTACAGTAACCGGTCAATAATCAAGCAATCATACATTATAATACTATGCAATTATTATCCGCAACTCTATTTTATTTCAATGTTTTATTTATAATATTACTTTGTATACTATACTACTATTATATATAATACTATATTGTACTTTATTATATTTTACTTTCCATACGCTAAGTGAATGGAACTATTACATTGTAATAAGCATTAGTTTTGTTTTGCAATGATTGCATATATTTTACTACAGATGTATGTAGTTGAATAGAATAGATTTCTCAAATTATCCTTTATTAAAATCCATGTCAACTTATAAATATTATACCAAGAACTACATAAATATCACGATCTTTGTATATATCACAGACCCAAAATCCTTCATGTTGATTTATATTTAATTAAATACAAATTGTATGAAATAAATTTATATAAATAAATTCTCTATATAAATTCTAAATAATTGTAATTATGAAATAAATTTATATAAATAAATTCCATATCTCCCTCCCATAATTTTTTAGTAACCTCAACGATCTGTCAAAATCTGACATGAATGAAAAAAATAAAACTAAGAAATACGCATAAACGCATATACGCGGGCATTTTCACGCAAGTTTAAAATACAATATATGATGAAGAGTGTTTGAATTTTCCATAAAAAAATGTTTATTTTGTGATAATTCGAATTATGGGCGTAAAGGATTTATGGTCAGTTTTCACACCTCACGCAAGCCGTAAACCAATTTCGGAGCTGCGCGGGAAAACTGTGGCAATTGACTTAGCTGGTTGGGTATGTGAAAGTCTTAATGTTGTGGACTATTTTGTGCATCCGCGCCATCATTTAAAGTAATAATAATTTAAAAAATAAAATATTAAGAAATAATATTAAATTCAATTTAGAAATTTATTTTTTCGCACTTGCTATCTAATTTGGGAGGATGTTACACCGGTATTTGTGTTAGAAGGTACAGCACCGAAACTCAAGAGTCAAGTAATTGAAAAACGCAATGAAATACAATTTAGAGGAGTAAGACCTAAAGACAAAGATAATCTTAGTCAAAAAACAGATTCAACACAGTCAACAAACTCCCAAAAGGACAAGGGACGCACACGGTTTAATCACGTTTTGAAACAATGCGAATCCTTATTGA